GTGCTACATGTCTGTAATCCCAGCACTTGGGAGACTGAGGTAGCAGGATCACTGAGAGTTTGAGGTCAGCCTGAACTGCATAGTGAGACCCTGTCTCAAAAAAAAAAAAAAGACAAATAAAAAGAATATTCTGTGATTGCACATAGGACAATGGCACGTCGGTTCATGAACTTAATTCTTTCTGCAATTCTGGTCACAAACCGAATTGGACATAAACTGAATCAAATTCATTGCTTAGGTTCAGTGCTGACCTTGTGGGAACATTTGATTCGGTTGTCACGCAATTCAGATTGCTACCAGAATCAAAAAGAATTACTAGGTTGATGAACTGAGTGAGGTTCCACTGCTACTCGGTTACATGATTTCTTCCATTTTCTCTCCTTTTGTGTGTGTGTATGTGACATATGCAATTGCTCTAATTGTGCGCCATTAACAAGGCTGTGTTTTGGGGGGTTTTTTGCCAATATTTCTTGTTTAAATTAATAGATTGGGGACACTTGAGCCTCACTTTTGTCATGCAGGCAGCAGTCTCCTTGAGCAGACTAATTTTCATTCTTTGTCATTAGCTCTGATCTGAAGCCTGACTTCATTATGAAAAGTGAAATTCAAAAGCTGCATTTAGAGATCCTTCCTAAGGCTGTTAAGAGTTTACTTTCGGTGATGCCTGAGGAAGAGGAAGGCGTCCCTAGGCCCCTGAGTCTGCCTCCATTTGGGAGCCAGGGCACATGTGTGTGTGCACATGTGTGTGTTTGTGGGCACGGATGCCCACGTGTGCAGGACGGGGAGGGCCACTTCTGTCTGCTGGCTCAGTGGTGCCAGCGCCTTTGCCTCTAAGAGCAAACGCTTTGTTATCTTCCTTGTCACTGTTCACTGCCTGACTCGGTGGCCTGGAGGTTGAAAAATGATACCTTGAAGACCCTAAGAGAGAAAATAGAGACTAGATGTGAGCTGGGAGAAGACTTTCTGGCGCAGGGTGCAGAGCCCAGTGCAGCAATTTCTCCAGTGTGCTGGGCCTGAACTGGCCCTGAGCTTTGTCTTCTAAGAAGACATCGGTTTGCTTTCTGTTCACGCTTAGCTATTAGTGCATGAATGAAAATTCTCATCTTAAGTCGAAATATTTCAGTCTTAAATACAACTTTTTTCTTTTTTTTGTCTTTTTCCTTTTTATCGGTACTGGGGATTCAACTCACGACTGCCTGCTTGCAAGGCAGGCGCTTATGCCGCTGAGCTAAATCCCCAGTCCCAATCTTAAATACAACTTAATAATGGTGTATGTATTAAGGAAATATTATAGACAAGCAAAAGTTCACTAATATTTTTGGTATTTTGTTGTTTTTGTTTTTCAACCCTTCAGATTTAAACTAATCATACTGACTTACATCTCCCTGTCTTTTTTGAATTTTTATTTTGAAACAAAGTATCGCTGTGTCACTAAGTTGCCTAGGCTGGACTCAATCTTGAGATTTTCCTACCTCAGCCCTCCAGTGTGCTGGAGATACAGGTGTGTGCCACCATTCCTGCTTCGCCAGTGTTTTGACTTTTTTTAAAAAATGAGAAAATGAAAAAGCTTGCGTTTTCAGATCTTCTAATAATCAGTGATTTAATCCATGCCAGTTTATCCCTTCAACTTAAGAAGCTACATTCAGGAGCATCTCAGGGAACTGGACAGAGGGAAGATATGTAAAACCTCAGCGCTGCTCCCTGAACTGGGCTTCTGAGGAAGTTGGGTAACCCCTTTCCTTTCCTTTCCTTTCCTTCCATTCCATTCCTTCCCTTTTCTTTCTTTTTTAATAGAAGCTATTTATTAGCCAGCTTTGCTGTCACTAAGTCAAATCCATCCTAAATAGATTCAGCCTCTTTTCTACTTTGGTTTTCTTACTGACAAAAATGGGAACAACCATATTTACCTCACAGGGTTTTTCCAAAGATCACATATGTGAAAGGCTGCATGTGGTGTCTGACACATAGTTAGCATTCAATTTTTAAAAATTGTGACTGTATTTTTGTGGTGCTAAGAATCTAACCCACTCTAACTCATGTCTGCATGTGCTCCGCAAACCACCAAGCTACACCCCCAGCCCTGGTAAGTTTTGAAAGGGTAATTGTGGGCTAAAAAGGTGAAAAATGTTTTCTTCAGTTCTCTCTGCTCCTTCTGTTCCCTGTGTCTTCCCTGTCATCTCTGAATTCACAAATTCCATTTCTTCCTTCAGGATCCCAAATCCAGCACTGCCTACTTCATGAAGCCACTGAGTTGCTCACTCAGAAATGGTCACTTCCTTTGTTTTTCCCCTTCTGTTCACTCTATCTCTGTCTCTCTCTGATGTCAAAATTGTTTGCATAGTCTTGTCGTCTGCCTTTGAATACAACTTCCAAGAGTACGACTTTGATCTTTCCTGTTTCTAATCTGTCCTTACACCATGCCTGGCGGTATATGTAGATGCTGATGTGTAAATGAAAGGCCACCAGGAGAGCAGACAAGATGGGACCTAATGTGCCAGAGCATGTCATTTACAGCTGATGCCAGGGATCCCTTCCTGGCTTGATAGTTATCACTGAGGGGATGTTCAGAGTGAGGCATGGAAAGTGTTAACCTTTCTTTTTGGTGGGAGGAGGAGGAGAAAAGGTTATGAATAGGGGAAATAAACACACTTTCTCTTCTCTTTCTCTAACTCAGGTAGGAGTTATGGATAACTCCTGAATACCTACACAAATGAAGTGATTAACTTTGCTACTCCAGAAAAAAATTTTAATCCCAAAGTTATTTATTTTGGCTTTAGAATAGGCTAGCATTTGTGTTGGATTTTCCTGCCTAATTACTTTTTGCTTAAGCTTATTGTAAAATAGTTTTAAATTCCTTTAGTCTATCAGGCTAGGAAGCAAGGGGTAGAGAAACAGATCACAGATGGTGTCTGGACTAGAATTTCCCTTTTCCTCTGTCAAAGCCTCCTGTGCCCTGCACACAGGAGAGCTGTTTTGGAGTCCGTTTTGTGTTGAACAATTTAGCAAAATGTTTTTTAAAGTCTTAAAAATGTGCTTACTCTTTGACCCAATAATTCCACTTGTAGGAGTTTGTTCCAAGAAAACAAACAAGTATGCAAAATATAGGAACAGTGGTATTCACAACATTTATGTCAGCAGCAACAACAAAAACAGTAAAGCCAACCTAAAACATCGAATAGCACAGACTTGATTAAATAAAGTAGGCAATTATCTCTGTGTGGCTTTAGGTTTTAGAAATGTTTACAATGTTTTGCTAGGTGAAAAGAGATTATATAGTAGAATGTGCAGTATAGAACACTAGCAAATGCAGAGAAAGTCAGAGAGGGTGCTTCTGGAGAAACACATTCTGTAGGGATAATTTTAATATCATTGAGGGCTGAAAATTTATATTTTTCATGTTTTCTGCTTGACGTTAGAATAACTATCATTTTTGAAAAAATATATATTTAATATATCAATGAAAAAGTAAAGACTTGCTATAGATTGTGCACAAAATGAGATTGGATGCAGATAATTTGGGATGCATGTGCCTTCTCAAGAATCACATCCATACACATGAATTACCAGCAATCACACGAAATATGTAAAGTCAGATGCACCACAGTTAAATTCTGTTTCCTAAGTAAAATAATCACACCCATTTGACATGCACAAAGTCACAGTTATGCTACAGTAGGGTGCCTTGTTTCTGATACCAGCAGCATGGAGGGAGAATTGTCTTGAACCAGGAAAAGCCCAGCTTGCAAGCTGTGAAAGCCAGGCATGGCTAGGTGCTGCTGCTGGCGGTTCAATCTAGAACAGACCATAAACACATTGATGGTTCCACATCATCCTGTGACTTTCTAGTCCTGTTAGTTTCTGGAAATGCACTCTGTGTTGTCCCACAATGACAAAATTGGCTAATGGTGAGTTTCTTAGAACACATTCCCATCGCTAGGTGATGCATGACTATGTATAAAGTATCGTGTTGTTGGGAAATAACATTATAAGAATACCAGGAAGATTTTATGTCACTTTGGATCTACTAACAGCAGCCCCAGTACTTTCTTTTCTTTTTTAGCAGTGCTAACAGTTGAACTTCTTTGCATTGAGCTCTACGCCAGCCCTTTTTCTTACTGATTATTATTTTATTTATTTTGAGACAGGGTCTCAACAAGTTGCCCAAGTTAGATTCAAACTTGTGATCCTCCTGTCTCAGCCTTCCAGAGTTCTGGGATTACAGGGGCGCACCACCATGCCAGGCTGACATTTTTTACTGTTTCTCTTTGACTCTTCCACCCCTCCCCGCTTACTGTCATGTACTAAGCAAATACCACTGAGCTGCATCTCCATCCCTTTTTTTCATTGTCATCGAAGCAGAACTCTAAATCCAAAGATCCAGCTGGGGAAAGAATTAGGAAATTTATGGTAAATGATGCCCACAACCACAAACCTCTGATGACCCCCAAATAATGGTTGGCTCACATATAAAAGAACCCTGCTTTATATGATTGGCTACAGAGGAAATTTCACTGTTTGTAAGCCTCAGTTCTGTACGTACGATAGGGTTCTCTTTTATTTGCAATCCCTAGATTCCTAGGATACCATGTGGCTTCCCTGAAGGAAAGGGCTTGCAGGTCTGGCTCCCTGTCATCTAAGGTCAGATGAAAAGCCTTTTGTGATTAACTCAGCCAGTATGTCCTTTGGTATTTGGAACATCAGTAGAAATTTTTGATTAGTCCTCCACATTTTGAACACTGACCCAGATAAGCTTAATGTAATGGAAAAAGCAGATAAATCTAGCTCTTTTGATGCCAGATTGAATCCCAATCCTCCCACTAGCTGTGACCTTGTACAAATTGAATCAATATGTAAGAATCTCAGTCTCATTGAGTAAGGAGAGTGGGTCTTCCTGCTCACCTCACAGGGCTGTTCCTTGTCACCTGTGAAGTCCTGTTCCATTGAGGGACTGATGAAGGTCTTTATAAACACACTACCCTCTCCTGCTTTGTTTCTGGCAGTTTCCTTACGCCGCCCCACCTCCCCAAGAACCTGTGAAGACACTGAGAAGCCTGATCAACATCCGAAAAGACACGCTGAGACTCGTCAAGTAAGTTCCCAGGGTCCTAGAGATTCGGGCCAGGTCCCAGATGCCCTTCTCCTTGCAAGGCAGTCCATGGTCTTGCAGGTCTGGAAGGCCTGGAGCGAGCTGCTTAGGCTTCAGCTGTGGGTGCCGCCAAGGGGCTGCACTGGCCGAGATGCAGGCTCTGCACCGAATCGGATTTCATGCTCAGTGTGGGAAGAACCTCCATTTGCCTAGACTTGGTTAGTGTTAGCCCTATTTTGTGGATTTAAAAAAAGAATGCCTTGCATGGTGGCTCACGCCTGTAATCCCAGCATTTAAGGGGCTGAGGCTGGAGGATCGTTGCAAGTTTGAAACCAGCCTGGGCTACAAAGTGAGCCCAAGGCCGGCCTGAACCTCATAGTGAGACCTTGTCTCAAAATGACAGACAAAAAAAAATTATTGAGAGAAAGGGGAATTTTTTTGGTTCTGGGGATTAATTGAACCCACAGTGTAGCGCTTGCCAGGCAGGTACTTGTGCCACTGAGTTATTTCCCTGGCCCAGAAAGGGGAATTTTGCAGACATACTAACAAATCTATGTAATAATGAGGTGTTTGAATTTGGAATATGAAATCCTTCTTATCACACTGCCTTCTTATGTTATGTTATATTATATAATATTATGTTTCAAAATTTCTGAAGATGATTATCCCCAAATAAAACTTCATACCCATTCTAGGGCACTGCCGTTTGCTCCTAACCATTACTACTACTAACTATTACTACTACTACCACCAGTCCTTCTCCTTCTTTCCTTTCTCCTACTCCTTCCTCTGCTCTCCTCTCCTGTTCTCTCTCCCTCTCATATTTTATTTGTCCCCAGAGTTTTCTATCACTTCTGCAGCAATGCTTCTCTCCGTCCCTGGAGTCAAGTCTGGGGAAGAGGGAGCTGAGGAGCCCCTCGTGTGCTAGCAAATGCCCATAAGAGTTCCACAAGCCCAGCAGCCTGGGCCTGGCCTGGCCTCAGGCCTGCCAGCTGCCGAATACTCTGTCCACTTGGTTTCCTGCATCAGTATAGACTGTACACACATCTGATGCAGACAGCGTAAGGGCCTGAGCTGTTGTGAGGTCCTGGTCCTTGAGGTGGTGGCCTGGCTGAAGGTCTAGGGTAAAATGGAGCAGCTTAGAAGAGTGGCCTGTGTGTGCTTGCTGGAGTGAGTCTCTGAGCTCCAGGTCTCCCATCTGTAAAGTGACCATTAACCTTCACTTTCATGGTGGTTGTCGAAACTGAACAAGATAATAGAAGGGAGACTATCTTATGTTCAATGAATGTTACAGTGAAAGGAGTTACTATGTTTTGTTTGCTTGTTTATTTGTTTTAATTCTGAGGAGTGAACCGCGGGGCCTTGTGCCTGCTAGGCAAGATCTCTACCATGTAGCTACAGCCCAGCCCTTGTTTTATTTTTCTGAAATTGCTGGAAAAGAGTAATCTTGATTCTCAGAATCCAGATGAAGATGAAGGATTGAATATTTGCTTCTTCTCCAAAGCCCACTGATTCTTTAAAAAGTGTTTATAAAAGGTACGGATCACAAGAATTGGGAGAATGGGAAAAAAATAACAGCAACAAAATGTAGAAGCTGGAAACAGACCCAGGATACCAGAATCCTGAGCCCACAGAAAGAAAAGCTGAGAGGTGCTCCCTTTAAACTGTGCCATCCCCAGGTGCCTCTGGCAGTCAGTGTGGAGGCTACAATCCAAAAGGCTGGCAGAGGGTCTGCCCGAGAGGTATCAGGTCTCACCCTTGCAGTCAGAGCGTCCCTCTCTAACCCTGGCAAAAGTCTGGAAGATGACTCTCACTGGAGAGCTCAACCCAGGCCCTCAGATCCCAGGGAACCCAGGGACAGCTCGGGGATAGACTAAGTGGCAAAAGCAAGAGATTATGTGAATTTCAAACCCCCCACTCTGCCTTTCGGTCTGCTCCTAGAACCCAGAAGCCAGGCCTTTTAGGGAGACAGAAAGATAGGTATCTGGAATCACACCTGCGGGGATGTAAAACCTGAGACAGGAATGGGCGGTTCCTCAGCAGACTCAGGTCAGCCCTAGAAGTGTGAAACTCAAGGTCCCCAAGTCCCCTTTGCATTCCTCAGAGTTCTAATTGGCAGCTTTAAGTTTCTTAAATACGAGCAGGCAAGTCATGATTCTTCAGTGTGTTAAGAATGACTGTAACATGACAGAACACCCTGAAAGAAAAACAATCAGTTGGAAAAAAAGCTGCACAGGAAGAAGAAACCATCATTAGTAGCCTCGAATACAGGAGAAGATGTGCCTTTTTACTCAGTGGATGTGATGGCACAAAGCCCTTAGGAAAACACAAAAGGACTCTTAGATTAAAAACCGTGATGGAAATGAAAATTTCAAAAGAATAGTAGGATACAAAATCGATGCACACTAGAAAGTGGAGTGAAATAGCAGTGATGGAAATAGAGAGGGAAGGATACAAATAACAACATTATTTAGGCCTGGCATCCAAGTAACAGTTCTAGAGAGAACAGAGGACATAGAAGAAAGGCAATCATCGATGTCATACATAATTTAAAAGCCTTTCGCAGAACCAGACTGCACACACTTATGAATGGAGAGGGACCAGCAGCTGCCAGAGCGAGGGCTGGTAAAGTGGGGCTCCTGTGAGCCTTCAGAGGAAGAAGGGCCAGTGATTGCAGCCTCTTCACACTTTGAGAGCAGCACTGGGAGCCAAAGGAAATAGCAGGGAGGCTTCCCTATGCCTTTTGAAAGTATTCATTACTAGAATTATTTATTTGCTCAGCCAAACTATCAATGAGATCTAAGTGAGAAGTGGAAGCTCTCAAAACATCTGTCCCCCAGCACACTTTTCATGAGGCAAGGGAAGACGAAAAGGTAAAACCAAAGTGTAACCCAGGAAAGGGAGATGTAGGCAGGAAACATGAGCTTCAAGGGGACAGGGGCACAGAGAGCCCCTGGAGGCTGGGAAAAGGCCTGGAAGGTGGCTGTGCACCGTGCCAAGGCCCTTGGTCCAAGTTGGAGCCAGACAGGGGGCTCCCAAAGGGACCTCCCCAGGATGACACCCTGAATGAGCCATCTGGTGCACTGGAGCCACTTCAGGGGTTTAAATGGTTGCAGAGAGTTTGGGTTGGAACTTGGGATGTGTGCATTCAAAACTAAAAAAAAGCCAAGATCAGCGCTAACACTAAGGAAAAATTGAGCAGAAAAAGAAAAAAATGTTTTTCTGTGGCTAAAACAATATAATGTCCATACCACTGTGATTATAAAAACACTAAAGTGCTATGGTATTGTGGCTGCACTATGGAGATGGTGGGGCTCCTGCATGGAACAGAGGAGAGGAACAAATCCTCATTCCTACAGCAGGAAATCAAAAGGTGATGCCCACAGCTGAAAGTCAAGAAGTAGTAACTTGAGCATGTTACTTGGGATCATGGTTTAAATGCCAAAACTTTGGCTCAGCTAGAAGAGGTTTCCTCTGAAGAAGAGGAAAGGGAAGGAGTGCGGCCTGCTGGTTTTTAACAAGCCTGTGGAAACTATTCAAACTATGTGATTAATAGACTTCATTAAAATAAAAACTTTTTTTTTTTTTGTACTGGGGATTGAACTTACAACCTTATGCTTGCTGAGCAGGTGCTTATGCCTCTGAGCTAAATCCCCACAATAAAAACTTTTTAAAAAGGGCTAGCAAATGTATGAGGATGTTAATCGTAGGACTGTAAAATATCAGAACTAACCTAATGTTCAACAGTAATCATGAGCCGGGCGTGGTGGCTCACCTCTGTAATCCCAACTGGGAGGTTGAGGTGGGAGTTCGTTGCGAGTTTGAGACCAGCCTGAGCTACAAAGTGAGCTCAAGGCCAGCCTGAACTGCATAGTGAGACCCCGTCTCAAAAAAGACAAACAAAACAAAACAAAACAATAATCATAACAGAATACAGTGGTGCCTCAGTACTTGTTCACTAGTTCTAGGAGTCAGGCACAAAGAGAACTAAAACCAACAAGTAACAAACAAATTGTTTTGTCAAGAAGGGGTTCATTCAACATCTGACAAGATCTAGCTTGTGTATAGAATACCAAACAAATGGTAAGTACCAGGACAAAATTTTTGCATCAGAATACATCAAGTACTTTCATGGTTTCCATTGAGAATGTGCTCATAGGCAGCACTTCTGAAGACTGAATGGTGAGAGTGACAGCTGGCTTGCCATAGCAGGTGGGTCTGCTCTGAAGAGGAGGGTCACTGAGGCAGACCAGGAAGGCTGCATCCCCCTCCTGACTCCTCCCTTTCTCCACTGATGTGATGTGGGCAGCTTTCCTCCATTCTGTCCCTCTGCCATGCTGTTTCTGTCTGGCAGCCACCAACCATGAACTGTAACCTGGGCCAAAATAAACCTCTCCTTCCTTAAATTGTGAGTGTCAGGTTTTTCTTTCAGTAACTCAGACAGATACCAAATACAGCAGATTTCAAAGCAAGGTAGGACTGTACTCTGTGATCATTCAGAATGAAGATGCAAATATGAATCAGTGACCACAGAGTGATGCACACATATTTCTGCAAAAGCAAGATTTACTGTGACTCCCATATTGTTAAGTTTTTTAAAAAGAATGTAAGTCTTAAAACCATGATATGCTGCCTCTTTTGTGGTTTCCTAGATGCGCTGAAGAAGTGAAAAGCCCTGGAGCAGAGGCCGGCAGAGCTAAAGTTCACTACAATGTCGAGTTCACCTTTGACACGGATGCCCGAGTCGCCATCACCATCTACTATCAGGCCACCGAGGAGTTCCAGAATGGCATTGCCAGGTGAGCTGCCCCTTCCCATGCTGGGCTGTGTCTGATTAACTCACCTGTGGAGGAGAGCATTCCTTTTCCACAACCAGATGAGATCTGGTTCCTGAATTTAGATTTTCTTTTACAAAGCACTATTTTGTCTCATCCCTTCAAAGTGGGCAATCTTAGTGCAATGGCAGGTGGCAGCATAATCCCTTAGGTCCTCAAGGTGCTGTTAAAGAACCTACCAAACGCTGGGGGTTTAGCTCAGCAGTGTAAGTGCCTGCCTGACAAGCAGGAGGTTGTGAGTTCAATACCCAGTACCCCCCCCCAAAAAAAAAAGAAAAAACCTACCAAACTACTTTTCTGTGGGCTTGGAGGTTGGATATATGGGTTTAATAACATTACCGGGAAAGAACAAAAGGAATGGCTTAGAAAGGAGGTCTTTTGATGCTAGAGCTAGCCGAAAACAGGGACAGGCCCAAGCCGGGGGCAGCTGACAGACTGCATTCACACTGTGCTTCCCACACTGCCTGCCCACAGCTATATCCCCAAAGACGACAGCCTGCAGTCAGAGACCGTGCACTACAAGCGAGGGGTGTGCCAGCAGTTCTGCCTGCCCTCGCACACGGTGGACCCCTCGGAATGGGCTGAAGAAGAGGTGAGCTGTGTCCGCCAGGGTTCCTCGTGGAGATGCAGAGGGGCCTGGGGCCACTGAGGACCCAGGCCAGCCCCAGATGCTTGTGAGCTCTGCATGCCTTTGAAGTCCTGCTCACTCATGTCCAGGAAACCCAGCTTTTGTTAATTCCTCTGTTCCAAAGCAGCACATTTTTTTTTATTATTTAAAAGGAAAAAGAGAAAAAAACAGAACAAAACAAAACAAAACCACACCCAAAGAAGCCCTAGGACTTTACTTCCATGAATTTTTTTTTTTTTTTTTGTCTTTTGCTTTTTTATCAGTACCAAGGATTGAACTCACAACCATGCACTTGCAAGGCAGACGCTTATGCTGCTGAGCTAAATCCCCAGCCTTCCATGAAATTTTAAAGAGGAACCCATCAGCCTTCTGTTCCCCAGATAACTGCAAGGCTGGTGAGCAGGGAGCAGCGGCCAGGCCGGCCTCTCACGGTGGTGCCTTCTTTTCCACGGGCTGCGGTGCCGTCTCACGTTCAGGCTTCTCTTTTCTTCCCTTCTCCCCTGCAGCTTGGCTTTGACATGGACCGAGAGGTTTACCCTTTGGTGGTGCACGCCGTGGTAGATGAAGGAGATGGTAGGGGCAGTTTCTGTCTTCTCTTGCATGTATGCTGCCCTTCTGTGGCACTCACCTGGCAAAAGCTGTGGCACCAGAGCACTGCTGCAGCTCTGTATGCCCTCAGTCCCCAGCAACCCGGGCATATGGGAAGAGGTGGGTTACACATGCACCCTGCTGATGGCAGCCCAGTGTGACTGGTTCGCAAGCTATGTGGGTAAAGGGGAGAGAGGGACATGAGAGTGCTGTTTGACTCTCTTCACCCTTTGCCTTTGTTTCTTTCAGAGTATTTTGGCCATTGCCATGTGTTGCTGGGTACTTTTGAAAAGGTAAGTGACTTTACAATATGCTTAGCCTTTCTTTCCCACAGGAAACCCTCATTTGCAGGGTGCCTGAAGACAGCAGGATAGTCTAGTTTGAGAGGCTGGGTAATGTCCAGTGAGTATCACACGGGGCTATGCTTGGGCAGGGTCCAGCTCTGCCACCACCTCTCTGCCTGCCCCCACTAGGCCTCAGTCACCTCTTCCTAAAATAAAAAGGTTGAGTTGGACCATTACAAGAGCCTTGCAGTATCAGACCCCCATCTTTGCGGTCCAAGTGCTCAGCAGCCTGTAGTTGGGGAAGGCACCGGGAGCCTGGTGTGCTCTATGGCCCTCGCTTTCTCCTGCATAACCATCCTGCTTTCCTTGCAGCACACAGATGGGACTTTCTGTGTGAAGCCCCTCAAACAGAAACAAGTAGTAAGTATTGAGAACCAGGGGCTCTTGGCCCCTCCTCCTCCCCTTCTCCCTCTCTTTGTCTTTACTCTTTGCTAAGCAAATACTTTCCCTTCTCTTTCTTTTTAAAACAAAGAAAAAAACTTTAAAAGCCAGTGGTTTTGTGTGTTAAGTTTATTTAGGTGGCCTGAAAGAAATCCTATTTTTGTTGTTTTGTTGTTCTACAATTATTGATTTTGGGGCAGTTGTTATGTGAGCAGAGGACTTATAAAATGAAAGGCCAAGATTTGCCCCTCGACATCAGGTTTAGGGAGAACTCTTTATTTAAAAGGTCAGGGTGAAAAACGTTTCAAGTGAAAGGATAAAGTATCGGTGTCCAATTCAGGGTCAGTTAGAGCTTAATTTTTCCTACCATTCCTTTCTAAAGTTCAGCACGCTGGCCATTTGCCCCTTCCAGAATGAGTAGCAAGATCTGCCTGTCTGCTGGAATGCTTCATCTCCCTGGGTGCCAGCACTTTTCTTTCCACTCTTTGCAGAGGTGGGAGGAGGTGTCATAGATGGTGAGAGCAGTGTCAACAGCCTTGGTGCATGCATACATGAGAGCGCGCGCGCGCACACACACACACACACACACACACACACACACACACACACACAGAGCAGGGTATGATGGCACATGCTTGTAATCCCGGTACTCTGGAGGCCAAGACAAGAGGATTTCTGCGAGTTCCTGGCCAGTTTGGACCACAAAGTAAGTTCAAGGACAACCTGAACTGCATAGTGAGATCCTGTCTCAAAAAAAAGTCTTGGTAGGCACAAGGTCATCTCATGTACGTTAAGGGCAAAAAGATGGGAGGCAAGGCTGGGCTTTATTGAGATACAAACCCTTCTCCCTTGCAGATGAATGATAGATATCTAAAATTCTACACTATTTATTTTTTAGATTAAGTGCTTGTCCTTCTTACAATGAGATCAAAAGTAGTCCATCACACTTTAGCATAATTAGTTAATATCATTTGAAGGGGCTGGGGATTTAGCTCAGCGGCATAAGCGCCTGCCTTGCAAGCAGGCAGTCGTGAGTTCAATCCTGGTACCGATAAAAAAGAAAAAGACAAAAAAATAATAATAGTAATGTCATTTGAGCCCAGACCTTTACCCTGCAGGCCTGACCTTGGTGAGTTGCCTCATGGGGAGGCCTGGGAATGACGAAAGGGCTAGAAAGTGTTTTATCTATTTTCCTATTGCTAGATTTGTTCTAGCAGCAGACTATCACATGGAAGAGGGTGAAATGAAATCAGAGCTAGGCTAAGTCTGTGAAGAGGGGATTGGTAGGGACAGAAATGAGGCAGAGGGGAGGAGTGGCTCCTAAAGGGCAGGGGAAGGCCAGCACAGGTAGAAGAGGGCCTTGGCGGGTTCTAAGAGGCCAGGCCACACTTTGCCACATGTGGCTTCCAAGGGGATGTATACCACTGGCCTCTCCCTCAAGGCCGCACATCTCCCTTCTACTCACATTTTTCTTTCCTTTTTCCTTGCCCATTTCTTTGTGTTCTTCTTTCTTTCTCTCTGTCCCTCTCTGTCGCTCTCTCTTCTCTCTAGTTCTTTTATTTTTAAAACATCTGAGGTGAAATTTTCTTACATAACATTTCTTACATTTTCATACATACCTTTTTATCGTGTTCCTAGTATAAGTCTTTCGTAACTGTCCATAATAGTGAGCTGCTGGGGGCTGGGGATTTAGCTCAGCAGCATAAGCGCCTGCCTAGCAAGCATGAAGTTGTGAATTCGATCCCCGATAACAAAAAAAAAAAAAGCTGCTGTATAAGTATTGTTGTTGCATTTGTGAAATTTTATGTTCCCTATTGGATATAATTGTGGGTGAGTTAAACATTTGACTTTCCTTTCTCTCTCAAAGAGAAAATACAGGTAAATAAAAGTATCCTTTTCTTGTTCAGGCCTTTGGGTTTCTCGCTGTGAATCAGTAGTCTGGGTAACCGTGATCAGGTCGGGGTACACTCTTGTGTCTCAGTAGAATCAGCCTGTCCTTGAACTTCTCTGTTTGCTGTTCAGGTAGATGGGGTTAGCTACCTCCTTCAAGAGATCTATGGAATTGAAAACAAATACAACACACAAGATTTAAAGGTGAGTTTCATGCAAAATCCTGAAACGCGCGTTCCTGGGAGGCAGGATGAGAAGCACTCTATCAAGCCAGGATGGAGGGTGTCAGCAAGCCTGAGGCAGTCCCGGCCTGGAGGATGTTTCTTACTCCTCATTTCAGGTCTCCACACTCTGTCAGTTTGGAAATGAGAAAAATAAGCTGGATTGAATTTGTTTTGCTCTGAAGCTCTTTCAAACTCCATTTCCTGGAAGAGTCTTCGCTTCCCTTTCACCTTGATCTGCAGGGCCCCCAGGCCCCCTCAGCTCACACTGTCCCGGGGCCAGCAGTGGGCCTCAGAGGATGAACTTGGGTGTTAGGACCTGTTCTCAGCTTCAGGATCAGTGGGACCCAGCCAGTGAGAGAGCGGGATGCCGGAGGTCCTGTGTTCAGTACCTGTATCAGCTCTAAGCCACGCTGCCTTATGTGACTGGTGCATTTCTATCTCTTGGCCAGGTGGCTGAGGATGAAGTAAGCGATAACAGCGCGGAATGTGTGGTGTGTCTCTCAGATGTCCGGGACACCTTGATCCTGCCCTGCCGCCACCTCTGCCTCTGTAACACTTGTGCAGACACCCTGCGCTACCAGGCCAACAACTGCCCCATCTGCCGGCTGCGTAAGTCCTGAGCCAGGCTGGAAGGGCAGGTGGAGGGTGGGACGGACTCTGCGGAATATCAGGATGTGTCACTGCTGGCCTAGCAAACCAGTGAATGTGGGAGGGATCATGGTTTGTCTGGGCTCTTGTTCACCCTTAATCCTGCAGCAGGATGTCCTGATGGCCTGTTTTCTTTTTCCCAGCGTTCCGGGCACTGCTTCAGATCCGAGCCATGAGGAAAAAATTGGGCCCCTTGTCCCCCACCAGCTTTAACCCCATCATTTCATCCCAGACGTCTGACTCTGAAGAGCATTCAGTAAGTTGGACTCAGCACCAGGGCCCCTCTGAAGCAAATGGATGCTGGCGTTCTCGCTGAGCTTTTTCTTTTTTAATATGCTTCTCATCCTTTCCTCAGGACACTGCAGCAGGGAACTAAATCTGAGCATGCTGGAGGATTTAGTGGGCCGGCTGAGACCACAGCATACTAAAACAGCCAGTATTACAACAGAAAGTCCAATAGTAGACATTAAAGCCTCCCTCTCCCTCCTTGGGAACTTGGTTCCTGTTAATATTTACATTGCTAGAGCCATCTGCTTGTGGAGTTCTCCAGTGGGGTCCAGCTCTGGAACTTCCCCAAGCAGAACAAAGGGGTGATTATCTTGAATTTGAATACAATTTACTATCTTTAATGGAATCTTTGAAGAAGATAACTTTTCCTTATTTCATTCCATGGCTTCAGTGACTGAAGCCAAGTCAATAAAACAGCCAACCTCAATGTCTCAGTGTAAGTGATCAGGTTAGGATGGAACCTGCTTTGCAGTTATAGAGTAGCAGGTATTGTCTTTCTCTAGATTAACCCATGCTGGGAAAGTTTTAGTATTCAGTAAATGATGTTGAAATAATTAGTTACTATTTAGGGAGAAAAATCAGTTTGATACTTTAACCCTTCTCAGATAACAAATGCCAGGTAGAGTAACAGTTAACTGTGTTCTAGCAAAGCAAGCCAAACATTAAAAACCTAGAATAAATTATAGGCAATTTTTTTTGAGACAGGGTCTACCTGTGTAGTTTGGGCTGGCTTTGGACTCACTATGTGGCTCAGCCAGGCCTTGAACTCAGACTCACAGTGATCTTCTTGCCTCAGGTCCCAAGTGCTGGTATAGGCAGTTATTTAATTGACTTTTTATGGAGAAGCACTCAAACCTCACAAGCAATGAAAACTTCAAAAAAGCAAAATCCGTAGATTTGGCCACATAAAATAAGTTTAAAACTTCAGAGTTCTAAAAGATGTTCACGCCAGATGGCACACGTCTATAATCCCAGCATTCAGGAGGCTGAGGCAAGAAAATCCCTACAAGTTCCAACCCAGCCTGGACTACAAAAGAGAGACCCTGTCTCAAAAAACTAAAAAACCAAAAAAAGATGACCAATTTAAAAAGCAAACAACAAATTGTTTAAAACTATTCAAAACATATATGTCAGGAAAAAAAAAAAAAAAAAAAAAAAACTAAGTGTCTTTGCCATAGCTCATGAGGAGAAAAGAAAAGCATTAGAAGACAATACCCTGGAATACTGACAGAAGTTATTTTGAGTGCTTGATTGTTGGCAGTGGTTTTCACTTCTACTTTGCCATATATCCAGATTTCCTGTAGTCATTATTGATTTACCTTATTACCAGAAAAAATACACATAAAGTTCATCTGTGAGCAGAATCTAGGAGTGTATGACTGAAATCTTACCTTCCCTCTGCGTCTAGTACACAAGCTTTTCTCACCAGACCTCCAAGCCCTCATGGAAAGAAAACATTTTTAAGCATCCAGTAGGAAACGTGATCATGCCATAAAACAAAATAATTACTTCCTAATTTTTCACCTGTCTCTGGTTCCCCTAGTCCTCGGAGAATATTCCAGCGGGCTACGAAGTAGTGTCTCTCCTGGAAGCCCTCAATGGTCCCCTCACCCCCTCGCCAGCAGTCCCGCCACTTCATGTGCTTGGAGATGGCCACCTCTCGGGAATGCTGCCTTCTTATGGCAGTGACGGCCACCTGCCCCCCGTCAGGACGCTCTCCCCGCTTGACCGCCTGGCTGACTGCAGCAGCCAAGGACTCAAGTTCAAAAGGAGTCTCTCCAAGTGAGTGCGGTCCTGGTCCTTGATCAGAAGCGTTCCCCTGCTGCTCCATCCTTGTACTGATCACATCTGGGCCCTGGGCACAGGGACCCTTCCATCGTGCATCACTGTTCGGTCTCACCACAGCCCTGAGCGAACCTTGGGGGGATAGTTACTCCTCCCTAAGGGGTAGCAATGGAATGTGTACTTTAGAGAATTCTCCTCAGACCTCTCTCGTATATGTGGGGAGAGAGTGAGATACAGGGAAGAGGAGGTAAGTACCACAGACAAGGCCTCTCAAGCCCCTGGGGAGCAAGGCTTAGTCCGAAGATCAAAGAAACCTTGTGACCATACCTCCAAACCGTTTAAATCCTTTGGGGCATGATTATGCCCTGGTTTCTATGGCAGAATAAACCGGGGTGTTTTATAGTTGAAGTACTGAGACCTGGGAATGTCCATGCTCCCAAGTTCAGTCAGCAAGTCCCGGAAGGCACTAGAACAGATGGTCTCTGAGTGCCTGGTGCTCCTTTCATCTCGCCTTGGGCTCTAGGACTCCCCTAGTGGCCCTTTTCTCCTCCTCCTCGCCTTTGAAGTCTGGGTAAGAAGAGTCAGGCCTGCTCCGAGCTCCAAGTAGATGCTGGATGCAGCTGCTCTTCCCCCTTGGCCTCTTGCAGATCCATTTCGCAGAATTCTTCCGTGCTGCATGAAGAGGAAGAAGAGCGCTCCTGCAGCGAGTCAGAGTCTCAGCTCTCTCAGAGGCCGGCCGCTCAGCATGCCGTTGAGGTGCTTCGCTTTCCTCTCTCTCCCTGGGCCTGGCCGCTAAGGCCCACTTGGTTTCGTTCATCGTCAGACACTGTTCACCACCTTCCAAGCAGCGACTGTGAAGGCTTCGAGAGACTCACATTGTTTCACATGCATACCAAGCCTGTTTCTGCCAGGCTTTCTCTGTGTGCTGAGCTAGCAGAAGTAAGAGAGCACAGCAGGTCCTGCCCTCAGGGTGTGCTGTGCTTGTGAGTTGGGGTAGAGGAAGCTTGAAAGACGTAAGTGACAAGTGCACATGAGCCAGGCCGTGTGGACAAGTGTCAGACGAGGAAGGGAGTGTGGGGCTGGAAGAGGGGCTTCCACTGAAACAGTGGTCCAGCAAGAGAGCAGAGCAAGTGAGAAGTGAGCTATGTAGAAATCTGAGGAAGATCATGGGCATGGGAGAGCAGCGGAAATCCCTGGCACCCAGTGTGGGTGGAGTGGCAGAATGGAGCTGTCTACCCTGTGATTCTACAGACTTCACTGAGCAAAAGTGTGTTAGCCGGCTGCTGTCCAAGTCTTCGAGCTAGTGGGGCTTTGATTCAGTGGGGCATTCTGAGGCAGTAAAAGTTTCCCTGTCTGCAAGCATCCAGGTCTAGATAGGACAGTGCATCTACTCAAATACTGGAGCAGTATGTGGCACATTGTTACTGCCCATTTCCTAAAAGAATGAGTTTTAAATATAGGAGCACTTCAGACAGAGGCCAGAAAATGTCATGATAGAGATGTATGACATTTTGTTCAGCAGAAGAAATCAGAAAAATATGTTAGAGAGAGCATTTGAGCTGAATGCTGGAAAGGAAGAGAAGCATCCAGGTAGAGGCTTGGGGTGGGCAGGATGCAGTGAGAGCTCTGCCTCCCAAGGCCCCGACTTGCAGATGCACGCAGCCTGCCTGCATTAGGAGGCGCCTGATGAAGCCAGGAAGCTGCAGTGGCCCAAGTTTGAGCCAAGCTGAAGGAGGCCTGCCTGGAGAAGGAAGGGTTTTAGGGGACAGTTGAGAGGGCTTTGCTTCTGCCTGGGATGGGGGAGGGGGTTGATTTTTGAGATTGATTGCTAAGTTCCACTGAGCTGACCTCCATGTGGAAAAGGCCTGCAGGCCGTGAGCCCCTGCTGGTTTATGTGCCTTTGGTTTGGAAGAAAAGCTGTTCTTAATCCTGGGGAAGCTGGGGGTGTCCCCGTGTCACAGCTGCTGGGTGACCTGTGTCACTAGAGCTGCAGTCTTTGTAAGGCTCCAGCAGATGCTGGGCCTCAGGTGCTGACTGAAGTTTGCACCTCCCCTGGGAGACGTTGCTCCAGACCCACACTGAAGAGGAGTGCTGACAGGACAGAAGGCAGCACTGCCTCGCGCGTCACTCCAGTCCCCACAATGAGGGACCTAGTCCCTCCCAGTGTCTCTTTTCCTGCTCATCCCCACTCAGCACCCTGCTCTTACTCCCTTCCCCTACATACTTGATTTGTCCCTCCTCCATGTCCTACTGTGTCCCCTGCCCCCAGGAATGTGGCGAAACTCCAGAAAGTGAGAACCTCACCCTGTCCTCATCTGGGGCCGTTGACCAGTCATCCTGCACAGGGACCCCGCTGTCCTCCACCATCTCCTCCCCAGAAGGTATGAGGGAGCAGAGGACAGCGGCATGTGCCAGTGACTCAGCTGGGGACTAACGTGGCCTCAGTGGGAAAGGAAGGAGGCCTTGTGCTCCTAGCTGGAGGACTTAGATGTCTCTAGACGGTGAGGCCCAAGGCTGAAATCTAGCTCCGCGAGACAGAAGAGCAGAATCTCGGGAAACTTGAAATCAAAGTCTTTGGGGTGGGGCGTGGGGAGGGAGCGAGCAGCCTGAGTGCAGGGGTGCAGCTCTGCTCGGCAGTGCCCTTGACCCATCTTCCCCCAACCCCTCTTTCGAAGACCCTGCCAGCAGCAGCTTGGCCCAGTCTGTCATGTCCATGGCATCCTCCCAAATCAGCACGGACACAGTTTCCTCCTTGTCGGGCTCCTACATCGCCCCTGGCACCGAAGAGGAGGGACAGCCCCTCCCTTCCCCCCGGGCAGCAAGCAGAGGCCCCTCTGAAGAAGGGGAGGTAAGGGAAGGGTGGTGCATGTGTGTCCAGCAGCGCTTCAGGGGTCACTTGGGGCTGGGCAAGCCCTGGGGGACTGAAGGGGGGCTGTGGGGAGATCTTACCCTTCCCTGACACCAGTTTTGTGCCGAGGAAGGCTTGGTGTTGGATTCACTGTTGTGCAGCTTTATGGGAGAGCCCATGCTAACAGTGCCCTGGGCCTGTGTTGCTGTTTTGCAGGGGATGCCAGCAGAGTCTCCGGATAGCAACTTTGCTGGCCTCCCTGCCGGAGAACAGGACGCAGAGGTAACCTCAGCAGCACCCTTTGCCGGAGTCAAAGGGACTGCTGGCCTTGGCTGGGGGTGATGGCGGGGTTGGGTACTGAAGAAACCTTCTTGGACAAATAACATTTATTTGAAGAATTCAGTGTCAGCTGAGCTCTTAACAATGTTTTGGGTTTTTTGTTTTGTTTTGTTGAGACAGGATCTCGCTTTATAGATTAGGATAGCCTCAAACAGGAGACAGTCCTGCCTCAGTCTCTTGAGTGCTGGGATTACACACATATACATGCCTGGCAATGAGGGTATTATTATTTTTTTTTTTTAAGACAGGGCCACACCATGTAGGTCAGTCTGGCCTTGACTTTACTATGTAGCCCAGGCTAGACTCAAACTCACAGTAATCCTCCTGCCTTAACCTCCCAAATTACAAGTATGTGCCACCATATCTGGTACAACTAGGGTACTCTTGGCAGACCATTCTAAGTATGTGTCTAAAGTGTGGCTCAGACCTGGCTCCCACAGACTTGCAGAGCCTCCTCGGCATGCCAGGCATGGTTGCAGTACCGTGGGGCAGCTCTTCCACCACCTGCCTTGGTAGACTCACCAGCCCTTCCTTCTGTCCTAGGGAAATGACGTCATAGGGGAAGAAGATGGCTCTCCCGTGCAAGAAGATGGTAAAAGACCTTGCCGTTTGCTCCCTTATATTGTGCATCTCTCCTGGGTACTCTTGAAGGGTAAAGAAAGGGAAACTACTGTGACTTGGTGGCAGTGCTTGTTGAGTGGCTGTTGAGGGAGCAGTTGTACTCTTGTGGTACATTAAGGCAAACAGCATGTCAGTGACCTCATCACCTTCTCAGCTCCTTCTGGGGCTCAGAGCCAGGGGACCCAGGACAATGACGCTGCAGAAGTCACTCCGGGTTCTGCCCATGCAGTAGACCCAAGCTTTTATGGCCACGCCTGCTGCAACTCTCCAACTGAGCCTACAGAGCTGCCCTGACAACTGTCTGGAGGGCAGGGCAGAGTCTTCCGGGCAGGAGGCAGGACTGTTTGACACCTTGCCTGATTTTGCTTTAATGAAAAAATGGCTGATATTGCTGTACAGGGGACCTTAGGAGGCAGCACACACCATGAGTGTGGCTAAGAGACCATGTGGCTTCCTTCAGCAGCTCAGCCCAAGCAAGAGCTTTGCAGGCACATTGTGATGGCTTTGCCACAGTTCAGTCATCTATTAAGTCTCTAGTTGGAAGAATTTGTTGCCAGCGAGGCTGGGAAGGAAGGAAGACTGGCAGGGTAAGGAAGGAGGGGGAAGGAAAGGCCAGAGAAGCCACACCACTATCCCAGGAGCCAGGCTCCTTCCCTGTCTGCCCTAGGGCACGTCCTGAGCACACAGCTCAGTGGCCTAGACACAGGTGCACCAGCAGATGTCATCCTAGTTGCTTCTGCTTCAGTGCTGGCCATTGCTTGGGGTGTCGGGGTGTGCATGCAGACAGCTCCTGCCTGCCAAGACCTGGAGAGAGGACAGCTGCTGGGGCTGGGCCCCGCCTGCTTCTGCACACCAGCCCAGGACCCGAAGCTTTCTAAGTGTGGCAGCTGATTTCGGTGTCCCAGGTCCAGTCACCTGGGTGATGGTTCCTTCTCTCCTTTGACCAAGGAAGAAAGGGGGAACTCTTTAAAAAAATCACTTCAACGTTCCTTTTCCCCTCTTACATGTCTGTAGCTTTCTGGGCAGTCTCTGAAAACATACTCAAAATGACAACTTTGGTCACGTAAGAGAATAAATCATAATTTTGTGAATGTGGTCATTCTGTTTTGATATACAAAATTATGGAACCAAAGGCCTTTTGTTGTTGTCTGATATGTTTATCACGTTGTAGAGCCTCGTGGTCATAAACAGCCTCCTTACAATGGAGACAGCCACAGGCATGAGCAGGGTATCACCCCACCACACACATCCCTCCCTGATTGTCTCCAGTTTCTGCCACCATGATGTCAGTGGTCTGGCCTGGGTGTAGCTGCCCTCTGTAGTGGTTGCTGTCAAGCCTGAGCCCCACAGTCCTCCACAGGGATCTGAATTAGGAAGCAGCAGCTAGAAAGGGGCCAGCTAGGGAAACACAGAGGATGGCGCAGGAACCTAGGCATGCCCACACGATTTGATTCCTTTTTTTGTCCGCTCTTTACCCACTTAATTATTGTCTTTTTTTAAACATGTTTTTATTTTTTGTCTCCATCCTTAAGATTTTTATTTTAAGGACAGCAAAGCAGAGAAAAACACAGCCAGCCCCTCTCTAACTGCCTTAACTCCGTTTCAGGCCAGAGGACATGCGCATTTCTAGGTATGGAGTGTGACAATAACAATGACTTTGACATCGCAAGCGTGAAAGCACTGGACAATAAGCTGTGCTCTGAGGTCTGCTTACCCGGTGAGTGGCAGTCTGCCGACATGAACCTGGCGGGAGACATCCGCCATCCTAAGCCCTGGTCTCACCCTGTGCACCTGTCTCCTCCCCTGCAGTGCCTGCCAGCAAGGCCAGGGTGCTCAGAGGTGCTGGTGACAGCTGCTGAGCAGTAAGAAGGCCTAGGAGACCCCTGGAGCTTTTACAGAGAGTGACTCCTGCTCTGAGAATAGCGAGACAGGAAAAATGCCCTTCTGATTTGGCCTAAGTGTCTCCCTCTCATGATCTTGCACATACCGTGTCAACTAGCCTGTCTTGTGTTCGTCCCCAGAAAGTCTGCGCAAGCAGACACCCAAAAGTGGAAATGTAGCTTCTCCAGGCACATTAGTTAGGATCAGAAAGCACTCTGAAAGCCAGCATTATAGGCCAGTGAATGTCTTTGTGGTCCAGGGAGCTTTGGGTTACCAGTTTTTTGTACATGTTAGATCTAGATCCCAAAGAAGGGACCAGGGGCCAGGAGCAACTGCTCCCTGAGCCCTCATTATAGATTTATGTAGTTCTCAGTATGGCCCTGTGCTTTTCACTGTCCTAAACTGAACTTGGGGTAACTTCCTACCAAGCAACTATGTTCATCACACTTTGAGCACTGACCCCAAGTGCTCAGGCTCCAAACACTTCTCTAAAAGTCAGCTCTCACTTGAGTGGGCTAGGTCACACATCCCCTCCTATCTCCACTGCAGAAGTTGGCCTTCCCACCGTGCTGTTGTAATCCTCTCCAACAGTCTTGAAAGAAGACCTGCTTCGGCTTTGGAATAGCCCTCCTGGGTCCAGTGCTTTACTCGCTCAGCAAAGTGGCTGGAGATTTTGGAGCCACATGACCTCCTGTGGTTGCCACTCTCCATCAGCCTGTGCCAGACATGGTCCCAGCAGGCCCTGGCCCCACCCAGGCTTGAGGCAGGGAAGCCAGAAGGCTGGAGATGCTTTCTCCAGCCTTGCAAAGGGCACTTTGGTCATCTCTATTTTGTTTGTCCTGAAGATACTACCAAGGTCTCTTATTCTTGAGTGAGGCCAGAGGCGGCAGTATCGGTTCACCTGCTTCTCCTGCACAGCCCCAGCACAGACCCCCTCCAGCCTGAGCACGGAGGAAGGGCCCTGACCCTTGTGACCGCCTCCTGCCCAGTTAGGCCTGGACCGGGGCTGCTGGGTACCAGGGCACACTTACTCCCTGCCCTCCCGCTCCCGACCTTGCTTCAGTCTGTCCATTTGTTTCATGTCTTTTTGCCAAATGTAGGTCTGTCTGTCTGTTTCTTTTTTTTTTAAAACTCATATTATGTTCCGGCTTCGTGTGGAAGTTGATGTTCACTCTGTGCCAGCACTGTCCTTCCTACCTCTGCTCAGCCCAGCCCCGAGCTTGCTGACGGGTGCACACTGAGGGCTCTTGCTTAGGGCAGCAGACAGCTCTTTGTTCCTAACTGGCAAGGGCCTGTGTTTCAGTCACCTAAGATTTGCCAAGAAAAAGTTCGCAGAACATATTTCTGTTCAGCAAAAATGGGCATGCTTCCGTGGTGAGACTTACGGAGGGGATTTGTTTCTAATTGGCACCCTTAGCCAACAGCTGAGAGGGTGGTCCCTGTACCTGCTCTGCCTATCCCTGTGGCAGTTCTCAGCCAGCCTCTTCCTTAAGGGCTCCCTACGTACCCCAGATTTTCAAGAGAGAGCTGCTGGGAACGATTTAAGCCAACAGCGCTGGTGCAGACCGAGCTTATTCTTTCCCTTCTCCCTAGCCCTGCACTCAGCCTGCAGTCCCATGTGTCACATCAGAGAGTCGTGAGGGCAGCAAGACGAGAAAGGGAGAAAGCAGCCCTGCGTTTCCAAGGTGGCTTCTAGAGCCAGGGGCTTTGGGATTACGCTGGGTTCACGGTTGGCCAGACTAGAATGCAAATACCTGTGGTCGCTATTGAGAGAATCTCAGACATAGACAGATGCTTTTAGTGTCAATTATATCCTCAACACAGGTCCGGAGGCTTAAGAGAGTGGGGCAGATGCATCTGCTGTCTTTGAAAAATGTTTTCTCTGATTCTTCTGTTAGCATCACACTGATAGCAAAGCACTGGGAGACTCTGGAAGTCTCTGCTGGGTCAAAGACAGGAGAGTCCACTTTGGCAGGCACCAGGAACTAAGCAGGCTCTTCACACTCAGCGCTTGGCTCACGCGTCCATCTGACCACAACAGACTATAGGCTGGCTTGGCGCCTTGCTGCTCCCTGGGCAGCGTTCTCTCCTTTGGGAAGGCTGTGTATGCACATGGTCCCTGCTTGAGTCTGTTTCCCACAAGATAGATACTATCCCTTCACAGAGGGCCCTTGGGGAGTGGAGCCCAAGGAAGCCCCTCACACTGGCCCTGTGCTTCACACCACATTCTTGCCAGCCATTGCCCCAGAGACCCTTAACACTCTGCTCACACTTGTGAGAGGCTTAGAGGTCCCCTGCCTCTCTTCCCCCAAAACTCTTCCAGATGTTCTGGAGCTCCGCATTTTTCACACTGAGGGTGAGCAGGATGTTCTGAGAGGTCCTCAAGGGCGCATCTGAGTGGAGAGATGTAGGTAGTAAGGTCAGAATTGTGTGCTAAGTTGATACGGTTCAGGGAATACGGTAGTGTGACACAGATGGCTGGAGATTGACAGGGGCAAGTGACAGTTCAGGGGAAAGGCTCTGGACATGCGTGTGATGGAAAGAAGTAAGGATAATGGGAGTTTTAGTGGAAATACAAAGGTCTTTCAGTGACTGATTGCATAGGAGTGGGCATATCCAGGGAAATCTGAACATACTCTTGGACACCTCCTGACTTCACTCCTGCCTGCAGGCTTGTAACCCAAGAATAATATGGTGCTAGGAAGGGTTTTTTGTTTTGTTCTTTGCCCAGGGATGGAACTCACAACCTTGCACTTGCCAAGCAGGTGGTTATGCTGCTGAGCTAAATCCTCAGCCCCAGTACTAGGAAGGTTTATACTTCATGGGCACTAAGGAAAAAGTCCAAACCTAGTGTTTCTTTCCCTTGGAGAGAGATTACAAAGACAACTGAACTCTTTTTAAATTTAACTGTGAAAAAAGTAAATAAATAAATTGAACTGTGGGTTGGAGAGGCAGAAAAGGGATATGCCAGATCTCCCTAAAAGTGCTCCTGAAATCTGCCTCTAGAAGTTTCTTCTTTCTCCCATTTCCAATTCCCTGAGTGGCATTGGATGGAAAGCACATAAGTCCATCGCCTCTAGGGATTTCAAGTCACCAGATTCTGTTTCCGGGCTGGGGGGCCCAGGAGCCTGACTCGGTGGCAGCCCTCAAAGGGGCCGAGGCACAGCAGGGCCTGCTATGGGTCCTCCAGCTTTTCCTCTGGGAGGGCGCCTCATTCTCCTGCTAGATCCCCTCAGTACAGACTGCCCTTCAGGGTCCTCTGGAGCTCATGTGTAGCCCTAGCTGACTTGCAGACCACCACAGCTTGTACTAGGCTCCTGCAAGGTCATGGGGACGGCCCTCGTGGGCAGCCTCTCAGACCCCGTCTCAGCGCGGGATGCAGCAGTGGGGAGCGAGGGCAGCCATGCAGCGCTGCTGTTTTATCTGTATGTGCATGTGTGTCTTCTCTCTTGTTTACCATTTGCTTTTGGTCTTTCCTACTGAACAGCCGCAGTTCCGGAGTCCTGCCCCATAAACATTGAGGAATAGGTATGACATCTACCAAATTATATAATGAACAAACAACACATTTTATTGGGATTCCTACCTGAACAGGCAGCATGAGCACTGCCCCCTGCCCCACTCTAGGGGAACAAGCACTTCTGACTCTCGTCTCAGGGAGTAGAGTTCACCCCAGCGTTTTGTGTGAAAGACACTGAGACCTACCTGATAACTCCCTTCTCTGCCCTGGGTTCCAGCATCAGGACCATTACTTCAGCCTCAGGACAGATCACCACACCAGCATGTTTACAGGGACATGAGCAGCTGGTACCTGTTCCATCTCAATGCTTCTGCCGTTAAAGAGTTTTGGGTCTTGGGTCTTGGGTCTTGGGCTGGCTGAATCTGAGGCTGATCCCAGTCTCCTCTGAGTGGCTTCAGGAAAAAGCTCTAGAGTTAACCAGCCTCCCCCAAAGGAGTCCTCCGATGGGCATGGTGTCCTGCTGGGCTCTAAGGAGTAGCAGTGAATGTTCCAGGCCTCCAACCTGCAGGAGCTGTGTCTGACAAAGGAGTGAAAAGGCCCATGGTTTCCACAGTAAAGGAGAGAAGCGGGGGTCAGCTGTGAGGAACACTCAGAGTCTCATCCAGCTGGAGTAGGGATTGGGAGGAGAGGCCAAAGGGTCCACAGGACAAGCTCCTTTCTACAAGCCCAGGAGCCAAGCTTTGCCCCCAGGACCAAGTGACTGGGACTGCCTTTCCTGGCAGAAGGAGCTCTCCAGCTGTCCTAGATTGAAGCAACCAGGTGTAGCCAGTCTGTAGGTCTCAAGACACCACAGGGGAACCGTGTAGGTGACCTAAGCCAGACTGTGGGGTCTGACTCCCAAACACACTCTCCAGCACAGTGCATAGGACTCCTGGCTCCTCTGTACACCTGTGAGGGAAGTTCTTGCTTTCTGTGAGACGGCAGAGAAAGCCCAGGACCAAAATAAAGTGACTTGCCAAAGTCACAGTCAGTACCCTGTAAACCAGGCGGGAAGTCCAGGTAGGTGTGATGGCGGGGGAAACATAACCAGGAAATAAGCAAACAGGATGGAGTCGTGAATTGGACACGGAACACAAAATGGAGAGAGGTGCCCAAAATGGGTTTTCAGCCTGGATACAAGGTGGCCAGAGAGGGCAGAAGGATGAGCACAGTAGGTGGCTCCTGAGAGACCCCAAGTTTCTTGGGCTAGTATGTCCTGGGTTAATGGCACCAACATCTGCTCCAGGCGCAGGAGGAGGAGAATACCAGCCATGAGGGGGAGGGGCGCCAGAGCATCACCTTGTCCTCCCAGCAGATGATTCCTGTCCTGGGCGCTTTGCTAGCTGGCCAGCGCCTTTCTGAGGGCTGGGGCAGAGTCAGCAGTCCCCTGCCCACTTCTGTCTGCCCTGGAGGAAATAACTCAGAGGCCTGGTTTCTTTTTCTTTGCCAACTATAACTTGGGCAGACTCCAGAACCAAATAATTCAGGTACAAAAGTGAACCCTAGGAGTTGGGGGTTTAGCTCAGCAGAGTAAGTGCCTGCTTGGCAAGTGCAAGGTCATGAGTTCAACCCTCAGTACGAAAAAAAAAAAAAATTAAAGTTTGATGACAAAAGTGGACCCTAGGGTAAGATTACAAACTGCTGCTGTCCTGTCCCTCTCTATGAGCCACAGTGGCAGTGACTACCTAGCCCAAGGCAGGAGCAGCCCCTGCACACATCGGTACCTGCTTCTCCTGTTCTTCCTCTCATGCACTGTGGTTTGCACACTTAGGAGTGTCAGGTCACTGCTCCCAGGCTGCCCTACTGGATACCCTAGGTGGACGCCTCCCAAGGTCTGGCTCCTGTAACCTTCCTCTCCTCTCCTGCAGGTCCCTGGCAGGAAGACGACAACATGGTCATTCATCGAAACACTCAGCACCGGCGCTTATCATCCAGCAGCCTGGAGGACCCTGACGACAGGCCCTGTGTGTGGGGTCCTCTGGCTGTCTGAGAGTGCCTACCCTTCTCCCCAGTGCCCCTCCTGTCCTTGCATTCCATCTGTCCTCACTGGACCACTGGCCTCTCAGCATCCATTGCAGGATGCATGTAAACTTTGCATATTCACGTCAGAGTTGGATGTGGAGTTCAACCTGCTGCCACCCAGCCTCATCTTCTGTCATCTTGATCCTTCCCCTAAAATGGGACCGGAGCACTCCTTTCTCCTCATGGGCTGATGCCATGAATGACAGCTTGTGAGCAGTCCGCAGAGACTGAACCGTGCGTGCACTGCCCTCATGGGCAGGTGGAGCTGAGGGCCGGGCTGTTTGTCTCTTCTGCATTATTTTCTCCTTAGGGGCAGACCAAGCAAGCAGACTCAGAGTGGTGGCAGCTTTGTTACATCTGACAATTTCTGGTCTTTGGTACCTCATGACCAATTTGAAACCACCAATTTGGGGATGTCTCATGTAGAAGAGCGGTCAATCCTGTGCTAGGTGTGAGGTTTTCCTCTGAAAGCATTGAGAGCTTTGTTCTCAAGGACGAGGGAGAGGGTGGCAACCAAAAAGGCTGTTGGAAAAGCTGGTCTTCTGTGTCTCATGTGCCTGTCTGCTTCTGAAAAAGCCCTGAATCCAGACCCTAGCTAGGGTGACTCCCTCCCTTTTCCTGATCAGGTAGCATTGCAACAGCCTGCCATTCCATTCAAAAAAAGCAACATTTCAAGAGCATTTCTGGACCACCTCTATGTACACAGTGCTAGGGCTATTGCATATTTCATTACACCCGTGTATGGGCAGTCCCATGGCCCCATCTCCATCCCTTCTGAGAAGTATGACTCAGCAGTTCTTAAACTGGTGCCCAGAATTGCCCAGGGAAGTGTGGGGACCCTGTGCTGTGTACGTCCAGGCAATAGTGGCCTGAGAGCCACAGGGCTTTCACACTGAGGACTCTTCCTGCTCTCTTTTCCTCCCCTCCCCTCAAAATCTGCCACCTGAGCAGTGCAGAAGGAGCCTTCCTGTCACCATACAAAGGAAGCCAACCCAGCAGGGCTGCTGGGAAGTTGCTGGATATCTCACCTCTCTCCCCTCTATGAGTTCCATGTGACTCCTATACAGATGCTTTTTCCCAGTGGTCTGGCATGAGATTGTCTGAGAAACAGAAACAATTACTTGTGAGAGTGAAGTGTGGGAAAGCTTTAGACTGAGCCCACTATATTTGGATTTGTTCTTGTTGTCCTAGAAGAGCTTGCCAAAAAAAAAAGAGCTCAGTGTGCCAGGTATGTGGTTCATGCCTGTAATCCCAGCTATTTGGAAGGCAGAGGCAGGAAGACTACATGTTCAAGGCCAGCCTGGGCAATTTAGTGAGACCCTATCTGGGGATGTAGCTCAGTGGTACAGTGCTCCTCAGCTGGATCCCCAGTACCACCACCAAAAAAAAAGGGTACATAGGATCCTCTGCACCTTCTGTGTAGCGTCAGAGGCCAGGAGTGTGGTGACTGTGACTGTCACACTACCTAATGGTTGTGGTTCACGTCCTGTTTTCCTGAAGAATGTGCTGTCCTGCTTGAAACACAGAAGGCCATGCCATAGCTCTGAGCACTGCAGAGGACTGTGCCATTCCCACCACACACCTTTTCATATTTAAGACTTAACTGTCATAAGTGGAGCAATAACCCCACTTCCTGATTTCCTTGAAGTGTGAACCCCAGAAGCACCAGGGAGCTTCCCTTAGCCTGAGGTGGTGGCACACAAACCCTCCTCCTCTCCCGGCAGGCAGTATTCACAGTGTGGTGCAACCTGGGAGGATGGAGGAAGTAGCTGAGATGAAGGAGATGTAGGTAAACAGTGGCCACAAGGCCAGTGGCCACAGAAGAAGCAGTCACCATCAACCCTTCCCAGAGGATCCCTTTCCTTCCTCACAGCAAGTAGTCTGTCCTTTCCCAGCAGGCCTTGGGACCCTAACCCAGACCCTCTTAGGTTAGTGTCCTTTCCCAGGCAGGCCTTGGGACCCTAACCCAGACCGTCTTAGGTTAGTGTCCTTTCCCAGGCAGGCCTTGGGACCCTAACCCAGACCCTCTTAGGTTAGTGTCCTTTCCCAGCAGGCCTTGGGACCCTAACCCAGACCGTCTTAGGTTAGTGTCCTTTCCCAGGCAGGCCTTGGGACCCTAACCCAGACCCTCTTAGGTTAGTGTCCTTTCCCAGGCAGGCCTTGGGACCCTAACCCAGACCGTCTTAGGTTAGTGTCCTTTCCCAGGCAGGCCTTGGGACCCTAACCCAGACCGTCTTAGGTTAGTGTCCTTTCCCAGGCAGGCCTTGGGACCCTAACCCAGACCGTCTTAGGTTAGTGTCCTTTCCCAGCAGGCCTTGGGACCCTAACCCAGACCGTCTTAGGTTAGTGTCCTTTCCCAGGCAGGCCTTGGGACCCTAACCCAGACCCTCTTAGGTTAGTGTCCTTTCCCAGGCAGGCCTTGGGACCCTAACCCAGACCGTCTTAGGTTAGTGTCCTTTCCCAGGCAGGCCTTGGGACCCTAACCCAGACCCTCTTAGGTTAGTGTCCTTTCCCAGGCAGGCCTTGGGACCCTAACCCAGACCGTCTTAGGTTAGTGTCCTTTCCCAGCAGGCCTTGGGACCCTAACCCAGACCGTCTTAGGTTAGTGTCCTTTCCCAGGCAGGCCTTGGGACCCTAACCCAGACCCTCTTAGGTTAGTGTCCTTTCCCAGGCAGGCCTTGGGACCCTAACCCAGACCGTCTTAGGTTAGTGTCCTTTCCCAGGCAGGCCTTGGGACCCTAACCCAGACCCTCTTAGGTTAGTGTCCTTTCCCAGGCAGGCCTTGGGACCCTAACCCAGACCGTCTTAGGTTAGTGTCCTTTCCCAGGCAGGCCTTGGGACCCTAACCCAGACCGTCTTAGGTTAGTGTCCTTTCCCAGGCAGGCCTTGGGACCCTAACCCAGACCGTCTTAGGTTAGTGTCCTTTCCCAGGCAGGCCTTGGGACCCTAACCCAGACCGTCTTAGGTTAGTGTCCTTTCCCAGGCAGGCCTTGGGACCCTAACCCAGACCGTCTTAGGTTAGTGTCCTTTCCCAGGCAGGCCTTGGGACCCTAACCCAGACCGTCTTAGGTTAGTGTCCTTTCCCAGGCAGGCCTTGGGACCCTAACCCAGACCGTCTTAGGTTAGTGTCCTTTCCCAGCAGGCCTTGGGACCCTAACCCAGACCGTCTTAGGTTAGTGTCCTTTCCCAGCAGGCCTTGGGACCCTAACCCAGACCCTCTTAGGTTAGCGTCCCTCTCCTTGTTTCACTATTGGCAGGCACAAGTGGCCCATGCAGAGAAGCGAGCCTCCATCACTGTGATCAGAAACGGGTCAGCTCCAGCCCTCTGCCTCAGTTCATCATCTGAAGACAGCATTTGCCCTGGGGGTGTGGGTGGGAGCTTACCCCAGGACACCTGCAGCCCTCTTCCATGGCCTGGGCTGCAGCTGTGATTTTAGTTTCATCACAGTCTGCCTTCTACCCGGTTCCATCCCACTAGCTTATACACCACGGGGGCATCTGGGAACAGACCCAAGCCCTTGAAGCTGTCTCACTGGAGAGACGTCCTGTCCACCTGGCTTTGGCATGCTGGTTGCTCACTCTGACTTAGGGCCTGCACACCCGGTGTGTGCAAGTGTGTGTGTACCTTGTTGGTGCCATCTGTGTACACCCTCACTCTCTGGAGTACACTGTGAGCACTCCACAGTGAGGACACCGAGAATACAATATTTATGGATTGCTGCATGATTTTTTAAAATGAATAAAATTGTTTACAAGGGAAGGAGAACTAGTAGCCACAAAGACTGATGTGTGAAAGTTTCTGTCCAAGTTTTTCAGGACCACTTTACTATTTTTACTCAAGAGGATCTGGAGGTGGAGGAGTAGGCCAAACAAGGGGTAGGAAAATTCGTGCTTCTGGCCTGGGAGGCCTTGGCACGAGGCCTCTGCTACCCGCCCCCGCCTTCCGCTTCTGGGGAGAGCCCGACCCCAGCTTCTGTAGCCACCTTTAAACCGGAGAACTTCGAACACCGCAGCTCCTCAATAATTAAAAAGTAGGCAAGTGGTGACAGGCGGGAGGCCAGGGAAGAGAGGACAGACAGCTAGCCCCCAGTGTCCCTCTAGGCTTTAAGGTTCCTGTCACTCAACGGATGCTTAAATTTACTGGTCAAATGATCCCAGTTGCAGGCTTTGGCAACTCGGTGAATTTTCCTTTCTTCTTCTTTTTTTTTTTTTTTTCCTCATTGGCTGTGCTTCCTTGACTATCCGAAAGGAGAACACCCCTGCAGAACCCTCTGGAATGTTGGCTTCAGGGAGCCCTGCAAGGATGGGAGGGCAGGGAACCGCTTACCAGAAGACACTGGGGCACCTATCCGCCTTGTTTCTGCGAGCCGCAAGGCCGGGTCTGCGGATGTGAGCGGCAGGTGGCATCGGACAGTCTGACCTGCCTGCAGGAGCCACAGAGGACACAGGGTCGCGAGTGAAGGAGAGGGAACAAAACCTCAAGGATACGGTTCCAGGGCCTGAGTTCGCTCCCAGCCTTGGCCCCTAACCCTGCACGGCCCCAGGAGCCATCCGCGCCCACGAGCTGCCAGGCCCGACGCGAGCGAGGGCGGGAGGGGCAGTTCTCCGGCGCGTGGACCCACGGCGGTTTCCGGAGCCTCAGGCGGGCGTCGCGCGCTTCTGCCGTTCCAGCGCGGGTCACTCGGGCGGGAATGCGCGGGGCCTGGACGCAGTGGCGGGTAGGGGGGCCGGGTGGCGCGCGAGGTAGGCAGAGGAGGGCGTTCCGTGAGAGTTGCGGCCCGAGAGCGGAGCGAGAGCTCGCGCTCTCCTTGGAGACGTGTTAGCCAATGGCAGCTGCGGAAGCTGTTTACGGGGGCGGGGCGTAGCCTTAGCAGCAGGAGAAGCCTTCGAGCCGCTACTTAACGCTGATCGCCGGCACTCAGAGAAGCGCCGTCGAGTGTGCTGTGGCGGCGAGGGGCGCTAGCGCGGCCCTCAGGCTGAGAGCAGAGAGCCTCGGGAGCTGTGAGGAACTTCTTCCAGAACCTTCCTCTGTCCAAGGCTGTGTTCTGAGCCAGATAAGGTAGGGAAGCGCTACGGGCCGTGGGAAGGGGGGCGTCGGTACCATCCCGGGACGGAAGCAGTGGGTCCGGGACCGCCACCGGAGAAGTTTCGGGGAACTCCCCTCTGCCCACGTAACTCTGTCCGGCTCTCTGCGTTTCTCATGGCCCCTTTTTATTAGAGTATGGGATCTCTTGTCAAAAATCGGACAGCCGCCCCAACCCCTGCTGGCCGTCCTGCCCTCCCCCGCTCCCGGTCTGCCTCGGTTTGTTGCGGGGGAGGGGTCCTGACTTTCCGCTCCCCGGGAGAAAGGGATACCCTACTTTCTTCGCGCTTCTGCGGGCTGCTCTATCGGTTTTCCTCATGCCGGCTATAAAGTCTCGAAGAGGGGAGAAAGTCGGAGCGACGGGGTCGGATGCAGCCGACCAGGCGTGGGGCAGATCGGGAAGCAGTCCCCCCACCCCCGCACACAGCCTTTCCCCGCAGGGCCGGAGGTCGAGTGCTCAGTCTCACTGTGGTTCTCGCAGGCGCTGCGGTCCTTTTAGGAAGCGACCCCCGGGTCGCGGGATGGAAGTGCGCATCCGCCGGGCTGTGTAACCGGAGCCGCGGGAACCAGCGGATCGACAGCGCGGCGGGCGCTCCAGCTCCCCCGTTGATGTTGACTGCCCCCTCGGAGAGTCCCCGCAGACATGGCTGAGAGCTGGCTGCGCCTCGCGGGAGCGGGGCCGGCAGAGGAGACCGGGCTGGAGGGCGGTCTGGAGGAGTCCGACGCCCTGGATGACAGCCTGACCAGCCTGCAGTGGCTGCAAGAGTTCTCTATTCTCAACGCCAAGGCCCCCAATCTCCCTCCGGGGGGCACTGACCCCCATGGCTACCACCAGGTGCCAGGTTCAGTGGCACCTGGGTCCCCCCTGGCGGCAGACCCAGCCTGCCTGGAGCAGCCGAACACGCCAGGCAAACCCACGTCGTCGAGCACATCTCGGAGCGCGCCCCCGGGGCTGCAGGCCCCTCCCCCAGACGATGTAGACTACGCCACCAACCCGCACGTGAAGCCGCCTTACTCGTATGCCACGCTCATCTGCATGGCCATGCAGGCCAGCAAGGCCACCAAAATCACCTTGTCGGCCATCTACAAGTGGATCACTGACAACTTCTGCTACTTCCGCCACGCCGATCCCACCTGGCAGGTAGGGGAGATGCGGATGGTGGCCGCTCCCTCACACATCCTCCTCCCTGGGCTTCCCTGGATCCATATACTAGACCTGCAAGGCCAAGTGGACACAGCCAGAGCCCCCAAGGGAAGGGAACCTCGAGGTCCTCAAAGGAGCCTTGTTCTTGGAACTGCCCTTCCTTTAACTTCCACAGAGTGAAGAGGAACAGCATCCTGGGCAGAGGGCTTTAGGGGTGTGAGCGTTGAGGTTCAAAGGGAAAGCATTCACACATCCAGCTGTCCAGCCTAAAGAGCAAATCTAACTGGCTGTGGACTTGTCTCCCCGGGGAGGGTGAGGAGCTGACAGCACATTCTTGTCCCGAGTCCTGGAGTTCCTAGACATCATCCTGCTGGAGAACAGTCAGTCAAAGCCAAACTAAGATTGGAACCAGCCCCCTCCCTGCCACCCTTTGCATCCTGACTTTTTTGCCCTTGGTTTGGGGAAGGGACATGGAGGTGCGAAGGTGTGTGATCAGCTGTCCTTGTGGAGGGGCTCTGGGCCCTTCCTAAAACTGCTGTCTCAACCCCTCCACCTCAGCCCCTCCCCAGTTTCCTGCCTCTCTCTCCTCCTCTGCCAGCTTCCCTGGAGGACAATTACCTGAGCCAGGTGCTTTCCACAGGGGCTCTGCCTGCTTCAGTGTCTTGTGTTCCAAGTCTCTGGCACTGGCACAGAGCAGCCAAGGGGCCCAGGCCACCACGTAAACAGGCCAGCCTTGCCAGAGCAGTGTCCAGCCACCTGCCTGCCACCCCACCTTAGACCCCTGTCCCCCACATGATGTAGACAAAACTAAGCACCTGAGTGAACAAGGCAGGGTGATGGCTGGGGTGGAGGATGGGTAAACTTGCCCTGACAGTCTTCAGCCCTCAGCATCCAGGGCTAGTTGGAGACTGAGGCCTAAGGACTCTCACTTCCCCGAAGAACCCTAGGTGGGCAGGGCACAGGATTAGAGTCCCAGGTCACTCAGATGGTCTGGACACTAGGGCAGGAACTCCCACCCTCATGCTACCCTAGACCCGTGCAGGTCAGGGCCCAAGAACACATCTTATGCTCTAGACTGGATAATCATCGACAGAGCCTGGGCTGGAAAGAGGGCCAGCAGCCGGCTCAACAAACAAGGAAAGTCACCAGATTTCCTCACTCCTCATGCGTGCACGTGCACACACACACACACAGATACCCATGGTTGCCCAGCCCCCCAAACTGACCTACTCATTCACTTTATAGAGGGCTCACAGGCGCAGGCAGAGGGAGATGGCGGTCCAGGCCGTGGGGGAGCGAAGGCTTTGGCCAAGGGCCACAAACAGCAGGGCAAGGGAGGGAGGTTCAGAGGACGGGGCTGGCACTGAGAGCCACCCTGCAGCTCAGAGCTCGGATGACTGAGCAGGCAGATATCCTGGCAACAGAGAACAAAAGCCCCCGACAGCACTCTAGGTTCCTGGTGCCCTGTGGCTGGTGTCCCAGAGCCCGCAGCAGCCACCTTGGTCAGAGCAACGGATCCACTGTCCCCTCCTGTCTGAGAGGAGATTGGGGGAGCATGCAGGAGCACTGGGTGCCACTCTGTCTCCACCGTCCCGACTGACCTCACCATTCTTGCTTACTCTCTCCCTGTGCCCAGAATTCCATCCGCCACAATCTGTCCCTGAACAAGTGCTTCATCAAGGTGCCTCGGGAGAAGGACGAGCCAGGCAAGGGGGGCTTCTGGCGCATCGACCCCCAGTATGCAGAGCGATTGCTAAGCGGAGCCTTCAAGAAGCGGCGGCTGCCTCCAGTCCACATCCACCCGGCCTTCGCTCGCCAGGCTGCACAGGAGCCCAGGGCCACCACCTGGGCCGAGCCACTGACCGTGAACACCGAAGCCCAGCAGCTGCTGAAGGAGTTTGAGGAGGCCACCGGGGAGGCCGGCTGGGGCGTGGGGGAGGGCAGGCTAGGGCGTAAGCGCAAGCAATCACTGCCAAAGCGGGTGGCCAAGGTCCCACGGGTCTCCAGCACCCTGCTGCTGACCCCGGAGGAGCAGGGCGAGCTGGAACCCCTCAAAGGCAACTTTGACTGGGAAGCGATCTTCGAGGCCAGCACTCTGGGCGGGGAGCTGAGCACACTGGAAGCCCTGGAGCTGAGCCCACTGCTGAGCCCCGCCACACAGGGAGACGTGGACCTCACCGTCCATGGCCGCCACATCGACTGCCCTGCTACCTGGGGGCCTCCGGTGGAGCAAGCCACTGCTGAAAGCCTGGACTTCGATGAGACCTTCCTGGCCACGTCCTTCCTGCAGCACCCATGGGACGAGAACAGCAGTGGCTGCCTGCCCCCAGAGCCCCTCTTTGAGGCGGGAGATGCCACCTTGGCTGCCGACCTGCAGGACTGGGCCAGCGGGGGTGCCTTCTTGTAAGAGGCCAGGCCTTGCCCTGCCTCCGGACAGTACCCGAGTCAGGGCCCAGAACTGCCCCCCAACACTGGCCCACGGACCTCTCACTGCCCAGGCAGGAGCTGGGCCAGTTTTCCCAAGGCTGGCTCCACAAAGCCACCCTGCTGCCAGCCCAGGTTGTCCTCAGATTCAAGCGCAGGAGGCTGAGACTGGGAGCCAAGGAGCAGATCAGATCGCTGCCTCCAACACCCCCCATGAGTCCCCACAAATACACAGTGTTTCTAGGATCCCAGCTCCCCCACTCCAGGGCTGGACTAACGGGCCCTGCACCTTGAACACCAAGGCCTGGTGAAGCCCAACCAGGCTGGGAGAACAGAACAGGGCCCTCCCAGTGCACCCCCCTCTGCTCTGGGTGCTCCCAGGGTCCTCCAGCTTCCCCAGGTCTGTATCCAGAGAAAGTTCCCAGGTACAACAAATGCTAATTAGGTGACAGTAAATTAACCCCCTGGAGGCTTCTGCCGGCAGAGTCTCCCGAAGGGCTGGGGTAGCAGCGGCAACTGGGGGAGGGGTGCAGAGAGGAGGCTGCAGTGATGTAGGGGTGCAGCATGGGGCACAGAGGTATTCTGCAGAGCCTGGGGTCTTCCCCTGGCTGGCCCCATCTGTAAGGGAAAGCAAGTGGTAGGATATAGACCCCTAATCTTTGAGGCTGAAAGAAGCAGAAAGTTAAGGAGTTGGGGGAAGGGCAGCCAAACAGTGGGGCGCAGGGGGTGAGGGATAGACTAATGTGAATGTAGCTGTAGTTAAGACTTAACTGGGAGGGACCAGGAAGAAGGGCAGCCCCACGCCCCTGCCTGCACTTGGGGACAGGGTCTTTCTTGCACCATCCTGACCCCGGGGCTGCCTCCCCTAGCCACCCTGTACATGGGGCAGTTTAACCTTTTTCATTGAAAGTTATTTACATTAAAATTTTTTTTAAAAATAAAATTTCTAAAAATCTAAACGTGGACCTGCTTGTAGCTTTCTTCAGGGAAAAGCGAAGGCCCAGTGGGTTTTGTTCAGTTGTCTTGTTTGGGGGGCAGGATTTCAGGGTCCTTGCCAAGACGGCCAGGGGAAGATGGGAGACAGTGAATTTCTGTAAAAGGGCCCCTACCCAGATCCCCACCACCTCACTGGGGAGCTCTTGGGAGCTGCCTGCAGCTTGGGCCTCAGAGCCTGCTGGGCAATGGGGAGCACTGTGCTCAGGGTTCCAGGGAGCAGGGGACAAAGCAGGGTGTTTCTCTGGCCCCGGGACTCACAAAGGCCAAGTGTACTGGGACTCCTGCCATCTCGCACTACGAGGGCCTGCCCAGGCTCGTCGACCCAGCTGCATCCCCAGCCTTGGCCTGTCTCCGGTGCCTCCCTTCCTTGGTCCTTGCCCGGAGGGACAAGGTGTGAGGTCACAGAGCCCCAGCCTGCGGGACCCTTCCTGTGCTAATGTAAATTCACTTGACCCACCCAGTGTGGCACAGGAGGAAGAAGCCACCAGGGAGAGGGTTGCAGTGCTCGATCTGCCCTCACTGGCAGTTCCACAGCCCCTGGTCTGTTGGGGGCAAACTGAGGCTCAGGACATGGGTTTGGGAGACACTCACCTGATTCTTCCTAACCCCTTCACCCTAGGTTTGCGTGGCATCTACTCCCTGCCCAACCCCCACATCCTGGACCCCACTCTCAGACCCTCCCAGCATGTGTGTGTGCATACACATACACACGTGCAGCATGTACACACACACACACAGAGGCACAAATGGGTACTGTCCAGACCTATCCTACCCAGCTCCCAGCCCCATTCCTCCACAGCCTCCTGCTCCACGGTCCTTTTCTTCCTTTGTCCTTGAATGTGGCTGTGGGCCAAGCTGGCATTCCCCTGGCTAACTTGCTGCTTTCACTTGCTAATTATTCCAAATATTCCAGAAGGGCACACACACTGCAGGACCTGGTGGGCAGGCAGGTGGGGCAGGGGCCTTGCTGAACCCAGATGCCAGCTATCCCTTCACACAGCCCGCTGCAAGGGCCGCCTAGCACCGCAGCCCCCCACACCTTGGCCTTTCTCTCCACCACCTGAGGGGCTTGTCCTCTCTGCCTATGACAGTGCTAGGACACAGCAAGACACTAGCCTTCTCCACTGGCCCCAACCAGGCTGAAACAACACCATGATTGACAGTAGAGTATGATGCAGCCTGCCCCCAGCCCCTGCTGGGAAAAGGAGCAGTCAGTGACCCCCTGGAGGAGCACCAAAGACACAGCGCAGAGTGCACCCGATCACATTTGACAATCACCGGGGTCCCGTGAAAGCCGATGCTTGGTGCTCGGTGCTCAGGCTCTTAACCAGGACTGGTTAGACCAGAATCTCCAATGGGTCCACTGTCTCCCCCCACACCCCAGGATGGGGGTTTGAACCCAGGGTTTTCGTGCTGAGCTAAGTCCCCAGCCCTTTCTTGAGAGAGGGTCTCACCAAATCACTAAATTCCTCAGGCTAGGCTTGTGCTCCTTCTGCCTCAGCCTCCTGCAAGACTGGGCTTATATGCACGCACCTGGCTCACACCTGCACTTTTTAAAGGTCACTAGCTATGTCCAGCATGCAGCCAGAACTGAGAGGGTGCTCGGGGGCTTCCATGCTCCACCTTCCAAGCAGGCAGTATCTCAGGAGTGAGCAAAGCGCCAGTCTTTGAGTGCTGTGCAGCTGTCATTCCTGCTGGCCCTTCAGCACCATGGGTTTTTTTTTTTATCAAAAACTGGTTTTTGTGTGTTTTTTTAAATGATATTGATTTCCTTCCTATTTATTTATAGATTGAGCGTAATTGCAAACACGACACATTGCACTAAATGCACTAAATAAGGACACATATACAGAACCCTCAGGTGAAGGACTTTTGCATTGGCCCAAAAATCTCATCCAATCCACAGAGCCCAAGCAAACAGTGCCAGTGGCCCTGACCTGTCCGGGCCAGTGCACCAACCCAAGAGCACATGACATCTTCACTGTCACAGGCAATACTGGGGGCTGGGGCAGCATGAGTGGAAACCAGGGCCTGGGGCATGCCAAGCAGGTGCCTTACCACTGGGCTACAACACAGCTTCGTTTTCTTTTCTTTTTTTTGGGAGGGGGGATTTTCCAAGACTGGATGTTGAACCCAGGGCCTTTGCACACGGCTACATCTTTCATCTACTATACATACATACATATATATGTATATATTTATATATATTTATTATTTAATAAATGTAATATATATAATTTATAAGTATTTTATATATTATGTGTGTATATATATAGATATATATAGATATAGATATAGATATAGATATAGATATAGATATAGATATAGATATAGATATAGATATAGATATAGACATTCTTTTTTAATAAGGATTCCCCAAATTGCTGAATTGGCCAGGCGAGGCTCAGACTTGCAACCCTTCTGCCTCAGGTCCCAAACAGCCAGAAAGATAGATGTGTACCACTGTGGCTGGCTGTCCTGGTTCCTTTGAACAGTGTGACGAGCTCATGAGTCGTTCTCTGAGCAGGTTTCTCTTTTCCTTCATCTCTTTGTTTTTGCTTTTGTCTTTTTGAGACAGAGTCTCACTTTGTAGTGCCTGACCTTGAACCCACTATAGCCAAGACTGGCTACCAACTCTCCACAATCCTCCTGCCTCAGCCTCCCGAGAGCCTCTCCTTTATCTCTATGCTCCAGACGTCACTTCTGGAGTGTCCAGCTCTTAAATCACTCCATCCTTGGTTCCTGGGGGAAGCTCTTTCCCAAATCAGCAAGCCACTCCTATACCCGAGCCCCTTCCCTGTCCTCCCTGGACATCAGGAGAAAAAAGACAGCAAGGAGCTCAGACCTTGGAGCTTCTGCCTCTGCCACAGACTTCTGTTCCGACAGACAAGGACACTGGGGTCTGGTGATTCTTGGGTCTGGAAGGCCCCCCTCCCCAGATGACACCTGCCAGCCCTGTACTTGGCCCCCTGCAGAGCTGAGCTGCCTGGGGCAGGTGGGAAGTGCTGCCCACACCACCGCACAGGAGCTGCATCCTGGGCAGAGGCCAGAAGTAAACAGGTGTATTTGGACTCCAGCAGGGGGTACGGGGCCGGTCATTGCATGGGGCAAGCCTGGGCCTGCCCAGGGTGGGGAACTGGGGTGTTGTTAACAATGGGGTGGGACAGAGACCCAGGTCTGCCTGACGCATTCTTATGTGAGGAGGAGGAAAGCACAAGTGACAGGAGAGGGGAAGACGGGACAGGAAGGGGCTTGGTGTAGCCATCCAGCCCAGACTGCACTGGCCCGTGTGAGCCTTGGGGCAGGGACAAGGTGCATGTGAGCTCTGAGGGGTCACATTCCTCCTCGTACACACGTATCCATCGTGCTGTGCTGCTCCCAGGTGGGACAGGTCAGAGCCGCCCTGGCAGGTGGGCATGCCAGGGCCTGAATTTCCCTGTGTACATTAGCAGGAGGCAGGGACTAACTGAGACACTGTCCCCAGGAAGCCAATTGGAGCTGGTGGTAAGGAGAGGTGGAGATGTCCAACAGCCAAAGAGGGATGAAGGGGCCCTCCAGCTTACTGCTGTCCTAAATTGGCCAGCCCAGCCCCCAACTGTCCCCTTGAGCCACAGTCTCCATTCTAAGGGAGCACTGGAGCCTGCTGTCTGAGCCCTGGCCCCCGCCCCCGGCCCCCAAGGAAGCAGCTCCCTTGAGCATTTGCACCTCCACAGGTACATCCTGACATCCTGCCTGCCGGGGGCCTTCTCATGCCCAGGCCACAGGAAGCCCACTTAGTGCTGCTGTTTGACCAGGGGATTAAGCAGACCCTGGGAAGTTGCCAACTTGGCTCCCTTCCGCTCAGCCACCCATGGGTTCTGATGGTGGCCCTGCCCCTGCCCTGGCCACCCTGCCCCCTCCTGCCTCCTCCTGGGTACCAGGCCCTGTCCCCCAGCACCAGGCTCCTTTCCAGTTTGCCCTGAGTGACCTGTGTCAAGGTGGAGAGGGTGAGGGGTGGGGGACCAGACCCTGCCCTTCAGGGATTCATCTCGTAGGCTGTAGGTCTGTGGACATCTGTGGATACTGGCCTGTCTGTCCTGCTCATTCCTACACTGGACACATCAAACCCACTAGTTAACATGTTGAGGAATGGATGAATGGATGGGTGGATGGACTGGTTGGCAGATCACTAAAAGAAAAAACATAGCGAGATGGCCTTGGCACAATGCTCTATACCAGGGACAGCAAATATTTTAGAACTTTCAGTGATAACAGAGAGCCAGCTGTGGCACACGTGCCATAGGTTTGCCATAACTGCCCCATGCAGTCAGCTTCCAGGGGGCTTCCAGGCAACTTAGTGAGACCATCTCAAGATAAAAAGAGGCTGGGCCTATAGCTCAAGCTCAGAAGTCCCTGGAAAGTGCAGGAAATTTTCCTTTTTTAAGTCTAGTCTGGGAAAATTGAGGCCAGCTCCCACATACAGTTGAATCCACAAATGAGTAACTGTATGAATCAGCAAGAGACCACCAGGTATCAACAGGGGGAAGCAGGAGATGAGGCGAGGCTTTGTGCTGTCCTGTGGCCGTCACCCTGTTATTCAGAGGAGAAATCACTGGCGCATGCACACCAGGAGAGGTCCAGGGCTAAGACAAGTCACAGGGACCACAGCGATGGAGATCCGAGGGCAAAATGCCCACGTGTGGACGGAACTGCAGCAGCCGTGGGAGGGCAGCACGTGAAGGCTCAGCCTTCCCCAAAGGCCGCTGTTAGGACGTGAGGCAGCAGACCCGGGTTAGAGAGGGAGGAGGAGAAGCAGCAGCAGGGGTGTTAGGAAGGCAGGTGGCAGCTGCCTCTGCCTCTGCACGCCTGTTCCTGCAGCCCCACCCGCCTCCCCACAGGTGCGTCCCATCCCGGGGCCCAGTACTGCTGAGCCAGTGAATGGATGGCTCGGGCGGGCGGAAAGCCAGTGTTTGCACAGGAGGTC